TGACTTTATCCTAGTAGATTAGTGCAACTATATCTTAGTAGATTAGTGCAACTATATCTTAGTAGATTAGCGTGACTTTATCCTAGTAGATTAGTGCAACTATATCTTAGTAGATTAGTGCAACTATATCTTAGTAGATTAGCGTGACTTTATCATAATAGGTTAGTGCAACTTTATCCTAATAGGTTAATACAACTTTATCTTAGTAGATTAGCGTGACTTTATCATAATAGGTTAGTGCAACTTTATCCTAGTAGATTAGTGCAACAATATCCTAATAGGTTAGTGCAACTTTATCTTAATAGATTAGTGCAACTATATCTTAGTAGATTAGCATGACTTTATCATAAGTAGATTAGTGCAACTATATCTTAGTAGATTAGCGTGACTTTATCATAATAGGTTAGTGCAACTTTATCCTAATAGGTTAATACAACTAACTATCACTAAGATAGGATACTAAAATTATGTTGTGAACAGGATGATATCAATAATGATTTACTATTAATTAAGTACATAGCAGTAGAAAGAGGTTTTAATCCTGATGTTGTTGACAGAGCTGTCAAAAAAGTAAAAAAGAATGTTTGGTACTGTCATTTATACCTGGCTTATCTTGTCAAATAATGAAAAAGTTTAAAAAACAAATAAATATTTTTACTGATATACAAACCTATAAACAAAGTTACCCAAATTCTTAATACAAGTAAAGATAACATTGAATTAATGGAAAAATTTGGTTTATATATAAAATATTATGTGAATCTTAAACAGTTTATATAGGACAAACTAGAAGAAATTTAAAATTAAGAAGGAATGAACACAAGAGAAATGTTAAAAATAATAATATCACTATTTCACCTTTAGCAGAACATATTAGTGAAACTAAACACACAGTTCAATGGGAAAAAAACTGTTATTTTAGCACAACTTGGAAACTTAATTAGTATGAATATACATGAATCTATTGAGATAATTAAATGTAAAAAAAAAGTATATTTAAATTATTGAATAAGGATGATGGACCTGATGGAAATGTTGTCAGTAGATGGCATGAAATTCTTTAATATGTAAATTGGTGATCTGGTAATTATATAAATAGGTGTTACTTTTTGCAAAACATTACACTCTTGAAGATGACGCAGTGATATACGTCAAAACATGTAAAGTGTATGAGATTGTTTTTCAGTCTTATCAGGTTTTTTACCACTTTTTTATCCCATACAGTAAGTTATTTGTATTTTATTGTAATTTTGAGACTGAAAAAAAATCTCATTTTTATAGAATTGCGTATAAAATAATCGTTGTTTTTAAAAAAAATTTGAATTTTTTTAACATTAAGTACTTGATAAATTTTCTCCTTACTTACCCAAATACTATTATGTTTTTATCAAATATTACAGTTTTTAAAACTTTCTTGAAACAGTACAAGTCACTTCATAAGAAAAAAAACTGATTAAAATTGTAAGGTATACTTGTGGAAACTGAAAAGCATATTTTTTAACGTGATTATCCTGAGTTACTGCAAATATGTTTACCTGAAGAATTCCTTTTATTATCCACAGCATGCCACACCTTGAAAATAAGATCCTAAAAGAAGGAAATTCACATAAGTCTACACTATTACTGGGTATTCCAAAATATTTATTGTTCTGGAAGGATGAAATGTTTATACACTGTTGTTTTTATTGAGAGTTTCGGTTGTCACAGAGCTTATGACATAACTGTCTAGTTTCTTTGAGACTGAGATAGCAATTTCAAAGATCTTATTAGGTAACTGTCTAGCTTATTTGAGCTTGAGGTGCTAATGTCACAAAGCTTATGACATAACTTTAGTTTCTTTGAGCTTCAGATACACAGCCATAAACTGTGACATTTATATCTCTAGCATAAAGAAACTAGACAGCCATAAACTGTGACATTTTTAGTTTCTTTGAGTTTGAGGTATAAATGTCACAGTTTATGGCTGTTTAGTTTCTTTGAGTTTGAGATAATAATGTCACAGAGTTTTTGATACAAATTTCTAGTTTCCTTGATCTTGAGGTATGTCACAGAGTTTATAAAACAACTGTTTCATTTCTTCAAGCTAGATGTACTTATGACATAACTGTCTAGTTTCTTTGTACTTGAGATACAAATGTTACAGTTTATGGCTGTCTAGTTTCTTTGTGTTTGAGTAACAAATGTCACAGATTATGGCTGTCTAGTTGCTTTGTGTTTGAGTAACAAATGTCACAGTTTATAACTGTCTAGTTGCTTTGTGTTTGAGTAACAAATGTCACAGTTTATGGCTGTCTAGTTGCTTTGTGTTTGTGTAACAAATGTCACAGTTTATGGCTGTCTAGTTTCTTTGTGCTTGAGGTACAAATGCCAAAGTTAATGGCTGTCTAGTTCCTTTGTGTTTGAGTAACAAATGTCACAGTTTATGACTGTCTAGTTGCTTTGTGTTTAAGTAACAAATGTCACAGTTTATGACTGTCTAGTTCTTTTGTGTTTTAGGTACAAATACCACAGTTTATTGCTGTCTAGTTCTTTTGTGTTTGAGCAACAAATGTCACAGTTTATGGCTGTCTAGTTCCTTTGTGTTTGAGTAACAAACGTCAGAGTTTATGCCTGCCTAGTTCCTTTGTGTTTTAGGTACAAACACCACAATTTATTGCTGTCTAGTTCTTGTGTGTTTTAGGTACAAATGACACAATTTATTGCTGTCTAGTTCTTTTGTGTTTTAGGTACAAATGTCCCAGTTTACGGCTGTCTAGTTCGTTTCTATTCGAGATACCTTTGTCACAGTTTATGGTTGTCTAGTTCTTTTGTGTTTGAGCAACAAATGTCACAGTTTATGGCTGTCTAGTTCTTTTGTGTTTGAGTAACAAATGTCACAGTTTATGGCTGTCTAGTTCCTTTGTGTTTTAGGTACAAACACCACAGTGTATTGCTGTCTAGTTCTTGTGTGTGTTTAAGTAACAAATGCCAAAGTTAATGGCTGTCTAGTTCTTTTGTGTTTGAGCAACAAATGTCACAGTTTATGGCTGTCTAGTTTCTTTGTGTTTGAGTAACAAATGTCACAGTTTATGGCTGTCTAGTTGCTTTGTGTTTGAGTAACAAATGTCACAGTTTATGACTGTCTAGTTGCTTTGTGTTTAAGTAACAAATGTCACAGATTATGGTTGTCTAGTTGCTTTGTGTTTGAGATACATATGCCACAGTTTATGGTTGTCTAGTTCCTTTGTGTTTGAGGTACAAATGCCACAGTTTATGGCTGTCTAGTTGTTTTGTGTTTGAGATACATATGCCACAGTTTATGGTTGTCTAGTTCCTTTGTGTTTGAGATACATAATGCCATAGAGTTTATGACAGAGTTGTTCTAGTGTTTTTTGAGCTATAGCAGTTGAACAAAAAAGGAAGAGAATGCTACACATACATTTTTACAGTATTACTCAAACTTAGAAAAACTTGATTCTCCAAGTTTTCTTTATTTATATAAAGAAGCTTTAAACTATTCTGAAATGTTTTACAAAAAATAAAATTATTTATATGATTTAGAATATAATGATTAATTTTCTCAAAAACAAACATTTAACAATTGTCAAATGCTATGTACTTTATAATATTCACATTAAATTATGAATTAAAAGTGTTCCTAAAGTACAATAAAGACCATAAAAAATTCAAAGATTTTTTTTTTTAAGTTACAACTTATAAAATAAAATGTTATTAATGAAAAAGGTGATTCTTATTTCTGGTAATAAATCTATCAAAACTCAGAACAAAAATACCTTATTTTCTTGTGAATAAATCAGCCATAGATTAGTATCCCACTTCCATTCAGGATTATCAGTATTTTCAATAATATCTGTACTTAGAATTTTGTGGTCAGATGCTGTGCACTCAAGGGTAACATAACTAGATGGAAGAATATGTTCTTTTCTAGAAAAACATAATATTTACAAATTAATGAATAATAACAAATGGTCTGGAGACAAGACGTCACTTCAAAAGAAAATATAATATTTACAAAATAATTAATAATAACAAATGGTCTGGAGACAAGACATCACTTCAAAAGAAAACATAATATTTACAAATTAATTAATAATAACAAATGGTCTGGAGACAAGACATAACTTCCAAAGAAAACATAATATTTACAAATTAATTGATAATAACAAATGGTCTGGAGACAAGACATCACTTCAAAAGAAAACATAATATTTACAAATTAATTGATAATAACAAATGGTCTGGAGACAAGACATCACTTCCAAAGAAAACATATTTTTAACTACCTTGTACAAACTTTGAAAAAAAACTTACCACATTGTTCATATTTACAAGGCAATAAAGAAAGCAGGATTCATAAGCAATTAAGCTTTCTTATCATCAAGTACTAAAAGCCTGAAACAACTAAACATACAAAACATTTGTAACAATATACAGTATTGTTAAATTTGTAAGAATTTTATGCATAATTCAGTACAAAAAAAAAGTAACAGAACACTGTTCATATATGTTGTATCTACACTAGAAAAACCTCTTAGAAAATGTTGGAGATACTTTACACAATTTTCTATGTTTATCAAAAATTAGATAATGTATTATAAGCAACCTGCTTGATCCTTATAAAATAAATATTTTTTTTGGTTCAATGATAAAGCAAAATTTTGCATTCATAGAGATTTCCTATCTTTTTTTAAAGAAACTTCACCTATTGATTTGAAGTTAATTAAAGTAAAATCCTTTCAATATCTTAAAGGCACAGTGCTTAACTCTGACTTCATGTGACACAAGTGAAAGAAAATCCTTTCACACACTCCCTGGACCCTTCTTACCATGAAGTGCCTCTGATGTCATTCTCAGGCCTTTGCTTTTTCTTCTTTATGTGAAGGAAATTGAAATGGGCATAGTTTTCTCTGAACTGTTTCTGATCCATCAGGATCCTTTCTTAGATAACAACACTAAAACTGTGCACAATATTCCAAGTGAGGCCTAACTAGTAACTTATATAAAGATAATACCTATTTTGACTTGTAATTAGTAAATGTATGAATACACCCTAACATTCTTTTAGCTTTACTACTGGCAACAGAACATTGCCTTGATGGCTAATCCACTCTTATGCTAAGATCCTTTTCTTCAGTCATATTATTAAGAGTGTTCCCTTATATTTATGTTATCCCAGATGCATTGCTTAGCATTTTAATTAAAGGTCATTTAATGAATATTTGTCCAACTAACCAACTGATCCAAATTATTCTGCAGTACCTTGATATCCTCAATTCAGCCAAAAAAATCTAATGTCATCTACTAATTTACTGGGCAACTAAGACAATTCTGGAATGGAGGTGATTTTTTATAAGATATAGGTTAAGATCTCTTATTTTCTCTTGACAGAAGAAGGGAAACAGATAATCTTATTGAAGTTTACAAGATAGGACTGATATGGAGAAAGGTTTCTGAGTTCTTTAAACTATATTTTGTAGACAACAGAACAAAATGACACAAGGTTAAGATTTAAAAAATCTGGGCTAATCTTCAACTAATACAGCTTACCTTTTTTAACAGATGTTTGGCTTATAAAATGAGTTTCCAATGGCAGAAGTAGAGGCTAACACCTCACAAGAGTTTAAAATAGAAATTAATAATTTCCTCAAAAATAGTGGGTTTAAGATTTTACTTTTCCTCAAGAGTGGGTGTAAAAAGATAACCTTGAAAAACCAAAAGATCCTGTGTTGTCCATATGTTATATTACAGTATTAAAGTGAAGAGCCCAGATTTCTGTATTTTTTATCTCAATATCAAACATAAATTTTTAATAACAATAAATAAATAAATACATGAATCTAGTTAGCTTCTAAGCAGTTCTGTTGCTAATCTTTACCTGTTCTGATGCTCTAATATGGGCGTAATGTTCCTAAGATATAGCTTTTAATTTAAAGTAGAAACTCATCACACAAAATGAATCAACAAGACGATAGGCACCACCATGCCATTAACAACCTTATACTGTTTTCAGAAAAAAATTAATTTTCTTCACAGCAAGTACTATATATTTGTTTTAAAATAAATAAAATTTTTCAAAATGTATCTTGGATGAATAAAACTTGCTTAAGTTAAGTACAATGTACTAATCACTATATAAATAATATAAATTTTTTAAGACAGGATCACAAGCCAAGCGAAAGTAAGTTGTACCAATGATATTAAACAAAGCATGTAAAGAATGGTATATTAAAAATGTTAATAAAACTACAAGTTAACATCAAAAAAGAAATATTAAAAATATGTAATGAAAACACATATAAACCTTCATATGTTAAAGAGGGTTGAGTACGTTATATTAAAACAATTCTTTAGCCTCACAACATCACGACAGTCCATATCGCTAGATTCAGTCATACTGTATTTAACGACTGCCCATCTCTACGATAGTCCTGCAACATTAGAAAAGTCTCCATCACAAGGCCATCATGTCCAAAGCACACCACTTCTGTTTTTCTGCTTTCTATAACCTATCTAAAAGAAGCATTTTACTTACAGTAGCTGGGGTACAATTTGTTGCAAGTTTCTTTCTAGATGGTCTTGGTGCCCCAAGTTGATCCATATTCCTTTTGTTTTGCAATGTCATTAAACAAAATATATATCCCTGTCTTGAAAATTCTAAATTTCCTATCTAAACACATTTATGATCTGAGTATATGAATATCCTGTACCTGAATGGACTGTTACATACCCTTCCCAAAAGCAGTCAATATTTGGTGGCATCACACTACCTATGAAATGGAAAACAATATCAAAACATAGTTCTCATATATGCTGTTCCTCCACAACTTTATATCAGCTGTGGTTGTCATGTGACGTGTTGATTTCCATATTCAAAATCATTTTAATATAAGGTGCTCAACCCAGTATAAGCTAGTTTTATCCAGTACTTTACAAAATTACCTGTCTTTGTCATAAACTTTGGAGAGGTGCAAGGCTTGTTCTACAGCCACATGAGCCCAAAATCTATGACCCTCACTGAACACAATCTGTCCAGCTTCTTCATCCATGACATGTATGGTTTCAGAAGGTTCACTTGGTACTGTAGCTGACAGACAATGGACAAATTCATTCCAATTTTTGTAGTATTCTGCTGATGCTTTAGCCTTCCTAAAAAAACCAGACTTGTCAAGTTCCTCCAACTTTCCATCTTTAACTGACTCATCACTGGGGGAAAATGTATCCTCAGCTGAACTAGAAGTTGATGTTATGTGTTTATTATATTGGTTTTTCCATGGTTTAGAAGATGTGTCATTTTTGTTATCTTTATTCTTGGTTTTCTCATCTTCAAACACAACTCTTCGCCTCGGGAAATAAATAGGCTGTTGTACTTCTGGTTCATCTTCACCAGGATTTTGAGTCCCATCATCATCTAAAACTGTCTGTTGTGCTTTATTATGCATAACATTCATAGAGTTTTTCATCCAGGCTGAATCTAAGGTACCATTTTCTTCTGGTGAAATATCACAATCAACCATAACAGAGGTAGATACAAATGAAGGATATTTATTAAGGTTAGGCATGTTTAATTCTTCAGTTTGAATACTCACATTCTTTCTGCAACTTGAATGGCATGCATTTTTTTCCTGCAATATTACAAAATATTTTTTTAATTTCTAAGCATTTTAAATAGATAAGCTCAAAATATAAAACACCTAGAAATCATATCAAATATAATCCAAGATAAAACAAATACTTTACGCATCTTGTTCAAGATACAAATTTTTGAGTGTTTAATGTTAACCATTTGAAAGGATATTTTAATGATGAACAAGCATTCATCTTTAGACTGGTATATATGCAAGTTTGGAATTTAATGTTTGTTCACCATAATGACACCAATTCAATAAGGTACAGATGTATAAGTATTACATATTAATTAGAGAGTTTCAATCCCATTATGTTTACATCATTAGACAATTTTAATTTCTTTCATTTTCAAATTTCAAACCGATGAGAAGTGAAAATAATGTGCTTAACTATTCTGATTTAAAAAAAAACAAAAAACAAGCTATATCAAAATAAAAGTTACTGATATTTCCAAATTAATAAAAGTCACATATAAAAAAAAAAACTCAAACTACTGCTTTCAATACAATAATAGTAAACAATCTGAAAATAAAAAAAAATCGCTAAATCTTATGTATAAGTACAGACTGAACAATATACAATACATATCAAATGAACTATTTACCTTTTCTATTTCAAAATGGTTCTCATTAGTTAGTCTTACAACCAGCCACATTAAACAATCCATAGTTTCTGATAGTTCTAGATAATTCATATTTTTAGATGGCAGCAGTGGTATAGTAAAAGTTTCTGTGACACTCAGTTCACTGTCTAAAAGCTCCACCAGTTTCTCTATAGCAATTTCTCCCTGAAAATTACAAAGAGTATTATAATATACACTTCTTTCTACTATATATATTGTAAGTTATTAATCATGTTTTGTCAAAATCAGCCGTCTTGCTATACATAATTTATAAATGCACATAGTTGTTAATATTCATGAGCTGTCAATAAGATTCATCAGAAGTACCTAATGTAAAAGCAAAAAAAACTAATCAATAGTGAAACTCACTAATCAGATCACAGATGAAGTAGTATAATATTATGCTTTTTTCTCTTTAGCAACAGACTCTATCACATGATCAATATTTTGTCATTGAAACACAACATATTTTGCTTCAAATAATGTTTCTTTTAAGCAACAATGTAATTCAAAAAATGTCAAATTCTTCAAAAAAAACTTCTAACGTAAATTTTTTCAAAAATAAAAAAGATTAACATATCTAGATAATTATTTAAATTAACTGTATTTTCTGGCTGTGTAAAGATATACTAGAGTTTAATTTATTTTTTTAGGCCTACTATAACTATTAAAATATTATCATTAAACAAGTAAAGTCTCAGTAACTCAGTATCCAATACACAAATATTTTTTACATAAAACAAAGAATTAAATATACTACATGATTAAAAATCCTTCAAAAATTTGATACATCTATAAAACTCTAAAAGCCAAGTATATTTTATTTTCCACAAATGAAGTACATATTTCTACCACATACTTATATACTATTTTTAATAACTGAAGTTCATAATAACATTTTATTTTTTTTAACATCTAATTTAAAATTACTGAAAAATGGAAGATACTGAAAACCATATAGTTTAATAACCACCTTGTAAGATATAAAAAAGTAACACAAACAATATTTTACATTACGTAGATATATGCACACATACAAGAAAAAAAAAGAATATACATATAAATGCTATTATTTTTTTTTCTATTTCTTTTGTGCAGAAATTCTAGTCTTAAAGAAACATTTCTCTCCAGAAAAGCTGTCATTCTACGAAAAACTGCACCAAAACTTCTAATTATTCTGTCTGTTATACATACACTTACAAAGATTACAAAGACAGCAAGACGTATCATTTATAGAGACACTTAAATCTGAGTATTTACTTGATCTTTTATGTTTTTTTATGGATGAGTTTAATTTAAATATGCAAACATATTTTATACCTACAAGCATTGATAAATAATACAAGAAGAAATTTGACCTTTGCAATTAGTGTTTCTTCACAGCAAAAACCATTAAGGCACCTCAACTCCATGGTTATTCCTGTGAATATGGTGTAATAAAATAATTAGATTATGAAATGTGATTTAATTGAGTACATCTTAATATCTTAGGTCTATAATATTTATTACACCCAAAAACTCAAATAAGCTACAAGTATACATGTTATTTAATTCACATACAGCAATAAGCATACGGGAAGAGAGATCTGACCAAAACCTGAAATCCACACACAAGGCATCTACTGTCTCAGAAAATCAGATGTCTGAAATGAAGCAAAACATGAGACCCACACATAAAATAAGTGCTTTCTCAGAAAATAAGAATTCTAAAACAAAGATCTGACAAGAAAATGAGACCCATACACAATAAAGTTGCTATCTCAGAAAATGAAAATTTTAAAATGTGTGCAATATTCTTTAACAGTAAAATATCCAAAATGGATATTACAAACAAAATGGGTTATTATGGAAACCACATTTTAATCTATATATATATATATATAAGCAACAGAGTTTTCCATCTGTCTGTCTGATGTCACATGTTATGAGAAAATGGCTGAACCAATTTCACCTACAACTGATAGAGGAACTCACGAGGTTCTCACAAAGACTGAGTTTAAACAAATAACCAATAAAACATGATTCAAGTTCAACAACCATTTCAATTATACATTTATAATATAGCAAGTATTAGCTGAATTGAGTGAGGATATCAGTAGCAAAATATGTGAAACCAACAAAAATTCCACTTATTTGGATGTATTGCACATGGGTACATTAGACATTGTATATTGGAAAAGGTAGAAAACTGATCCTTAAGGCAATCAGGAGCCAGAAGATGACTTTATCAAAGAGCACTCACACTAAAAACACTATACACCTAAACATGACATAACACAGTCATCCAGGTCCATATACATGTAATATGCAAGGGCATGTTATAGTAAGGATAATAAATAATCCTACCTTCCTTAGTTTCAACTTACTCCATGCTGTGTAACAAGGCAATGTTGCTGTGTAACATGGCTATGTCAGTGTGTAACAAGGCCATATCAATGTTTAGCAAGGCCATGTTGCTGTGTAACAAGATCATGTCAGTGTGTAACAAGGCCATATCAATGTGTAACAAGGCCATGTCACTGTGTAACAAGGCCATATCAATGTGCAGCAAGGCCATGTTGCTGTGTAACAAGGCCATGCCACTTTGTAAAAAGGCCATGTTGCTGTGTAATAAGGCCATGTTGACATGTGGCAAAAAAACAGGTTATGGAATAACACACAGAAAAAAGTTAATAAAACTATTAATTTTATTTGTTTGATTTGAACTGTGGATAATCATAAGAATGGTAGTTTGTTTGTTTGTTTGTTTTCGAGCAAAGCCACATTGCACTATCTGCTGTGTCCAATGCAGGGAATTGAACCCTGGATTTTAGTATTGTAAGTCCATAGACTTACCGCCGTTCCATAATGGTGTACCGATGGCTAGCAAAGTGACCAATCAAAGGCTAATTTGGCTAAAAATAACCAAATTGACTTTTCACAATTGTGAAGAAAAGAATTACACTATTTTTATGCTGATGTTCGATTTAGCCATTCTGTTATTTAAAAGTAATAGAATGATGGAAGAAGCATGTTTCTTTTATGCTTTTTTATGACGTTTTGTAATAAAGCCAAAGAAAGAAACTACCACTGTTTATGCATATTCATTTTTAAAAGTGGGGTCCGAACACTAATTGTCTTTTATCCGAATCTGCATTGTATTGAAGTGCATTATGTCGAGATTTACGTGTATCATTTTATCTGAACTCAACAATATATTTCACTGACTTATACCTCAAAAGTATATATCACTCTTTACCTTTTGTGTTCCTTGTTTGAAATGACAAATAACATCAAAATCTTAATCGAATTACATAATTTCACTCACTTTCTATGTGTATCTTAATAGCAAAAACACAAAACAGCATCTAATGACCAAATAAAAAATTGAAATTACTTCACATTAAACAATGATAAAAATCAGCAATCAAATAGAAAATGAAGAATGTGGTATTCATATTATTATAAATAAGAATCATATTACATACAGAGACAAAAGATGTCAACAGGTTAGTTTACAGGTTCTGATTAAGATGTTAGAACACAGGATCAAATAAAAAATCTGTAATGGTTTTCAAACAAGACCAAAATTCGAGCGCTTTCAAATAGTTCACTGTTCTTCTTCAGGTTTATTCTCCTGAAGAAGAATAGTGAACTATTCGAAAGTACTCAAGTTTTGGGTCTCACTTTAAAATCATTACAACTTTTGTATTTGATCCTGTGTGCTAACTTCTTAATCAGAATTTATATTCCACTCATGGATTACGGACCCCAGTTTACTGAAAGTAAGTTACCTCTTCTTTCACCTTTCATTGCCATTTAGGAGATTCTATTATTAAATTCCTCCATCGACACATTTCTTACATTAAAGATCAACATATCTTAATTAAATCAATTAGTGGAATCACCTTACTTGACCTTTCAGATACTGTTGGTTTACAGAATATTTTATGGAACTTGATCTGCTGAAACTGGAGAATGAAGAAAAACAAATAAAAAAGTGAACAAAAGTAACATTCAATTTAGTGGGAAGCAGATTAGTTCCTAAAGGCAAAAAAAAGAAGTCAACTTGCTGGTTTATAGAATGTCTTTTTATAAACGAACTGACAAAGCCAAATAAAAAACACAGCTGTAAGACCATGAATTTATACATCTTCATCCTGCTACATCAACCAGTATGTCCCAAACTTACCACTCTAAATGGAGTCCTTAACCTGAATATAACACCACAGCTTGATGAAATTAAGTGGTTTGTCCTGTTGGTTGCAATGCACAAATGTTTGTTGAAAATATTTTTTTTGATGATTGAGCCAAAGTGTTAGGTATAAAAGCTTCATCATGAGCATTCTTCCAGCAGAGTATATATACTTACAAGACTTCACATAATGAAGAGTAACAAGCAGGTAATAAACGTTATAAGTCAGTAGAAAATTTTCCCCCTGTTGGATAAGTTTATGGACTTACAATGCTAAAATTGAAAGTTGGAGTCCCCATGGTAGACAGAGTGCAGATAGCCTAATGTCTAACTTTGCCCTAGGAAAACAACAACGACAGTAAATAATTACACTGTATTACATCATAAGAGGACCTGTACGTTTTTTTCCTACATCATTAGCACTTACGTTACTATGAAAACTTGGAATAATTCAATCAAAGTGACAAAGTTGAAAGGTAAAGAAGGTTTATAAATTCCACTATTAAGTAAGATGACAATGCATCAATGACACTTCTATCATTTTGACAGTAAAAGTAAGTTAGCATTTGGATCTTGCAAAAGTTAATAGTGAGATATATTGGCCTTTGAATTAGAGACTAGTGACAAATTCTGAGACCATTTAGACTTGATAGAGGTCCTTAGGAGTTGCTGAGATATGACAGCTAAATATACAGAGGGTTGTGTTTGATATTAACAATTTTGAATATGTAAATCAGCAATTCAAGTGACAACCACAACTGATATAAAGTCAAACTACATTTTATCACTGTTTAGTATTTCATAGAAAGTGTGATACCAAATATAATTGATTGCTTTTGTGAAAGTTATATAACAGTTTTTTCCAATGCAAAATATACATATACCCAGCTCATAAATGTGTTCATATTGGAGAATTAGAATTTCCAGGAAAGAGATATTCCTTGTACTTAATTGCACTGGAAAACAAAGGAATATGGTTCAACTTGGGGCTGCAGGACTTTCCAGAAAAAGACCTACAAAAAGTCGTATCCAGATGTAGTAAGCCAAGTGTATCATCTTCTAATATGTGAGAATCCATGAACAAAAAAGACTGTAGCAAAAGCCACTCACATAAAGAGCATAACCTAGAAGGATTTCCATCTGGAAATGAAAACAACAGTGTATGGGTCCACCAAGACAAGGTTTCTAGTCATATCTAATATTCAACTGTCACATACTTCAAGTAGCTGGTGAAGGAAATGGGTATATGTACTATTCCATATAAAGACATTTTTTGTTTGTTTCAAATTTTGTGAAAAACTACACTTGGATGATCTGCACTAGCCAGTAAAACAGTAAGAAGAATTAACAGATATTAGACATTTCCTAACCCTTCCCCTCACAATAATAATGATGATAAATCCCACACCTTCCCCTTTCTCTATGGACAGTAATAAAAATTAACATACAGATATTAAGGCACTTCCTAACCCTTCCCCTCACAATAATAATGATACATTCCACATTATCCCCTCTCTCTTCTGACAGTGAATGTAATACAAGAGTAAAAACGAAAGGATATAGAATTTAAAACTGCATCATTCAATTAATATTCAATACTTTCCTACCAGTAGTGAAAAAAGATAGTAAAAAGCTTACCAGAAACTAATCCTTCTTTAATATCTTTAGATGACAAGGATATGGTATGCTGATGTCTGTAGTCAAGCTTCACCTCAGTTTTACAGTGAAATGATGCTGTTTGATACACTTGCATTTTCACGCCTTGAAAAGTTAGGTTAATAACATGAATATGGTTAGTAACAGAATTGAACATGAATGTTAGTTTAATAATAAGAATATTGATAGTAACAGAATTGAACATGAATGTTAGTTTAATAATAAGAATATTGATAGCAACAGAATAGAAAATGAATGTTAGTTTAATAATAAGAATATTGATAGTAACAGAA